CTTTTTTCAAAAAAGAGGGAGATAGTAGCAGAATGGATAAGAAAACAGGACCCATCAATATGCTGTCTACAAGACGCTGCTTAGATGTAAAGACAAAACTAGACTGAAAAGCAAAAGATGGAAAAATATGTCAGGTAAATGGCAATCAAAAAAAGCAGAAAAGGCAATGTTAGTTTCTGATAAAAAGTATATCTGACTAGTGAACCCTCACTTGGAAAACACTTTCAATACCCTTTAAATTAGCCAGAATCCCTCTAATTCCACAGTACCTTACCTGATCTAGCTTCTGATGCCATTCTCAGCCTCATTTTTGTCCATAATAATAAAGAAATGGGCAAATACCTTGAGTTAGAAAGTAAAAAGGAAGAACATGCTCAGCATTTCTCAGGCTGAAAGAACTGAAGAAAAATTTCAAGCCTTGACTTTGTAATATTGAAGGATTCCATGTGCAAAATATTGAATGATGAAGAAAGCATCAAACGAAGCCAGAAGGGGAGTCAGGGCAAGATAGCAGGTAGGCAAGCAATCTGAGGAGATTCTGCAACAAAGTCATGGGAGAACATGTGAAATAAATACAAGTGGTAGTCCTGGAACATTTGGCTTCGGAAGAGAGGACAGAGAGGTGGACTGAGGCTGACTAGAAGAGGAGGCTGAACAGGAGCAGCAAGAGAGAATAAAAACAGGCAGGCTACAAGTTGCCATGGAGTGATGCCCCCATTTTGAGCTTTTGCAAGTGGCTGCATATACAGGCACAGAGCCAGACAGCAGGTGGGAGACAAGGGGCTGCAGTCCTCCCTGTTCCCTCCCCCTCCTGTTAGCTGGGGTGTGCCCAGTCCCACCGTCACCAACACAGCAACCAGTGACACCCTTTTAGCACAGCATCTACTTGGTATCCTTCCAGAAGTGCATGAACCCACACAATGAGCTGAGGACTGTGTTCAAACTTCCTTCCAGTCTCCACCACATCTCTATCACAGGAGGCATACAATCATCAGTTAAATATAAATACGGCCACACCACAGTGTCTCGGAGAAAACGATTTCAGCTTACACAAAGAAACAAGACAGAGTGTCTCAAACAAGTAACCAAAAAAAAAAAAAAGAGTAAGAAAATAGAATACCAGAAATGAAATAAGAACTACGTGATAAAGAATTTCAAAGAATGATATTTACGTACCTTCAACAAAGTGAGAGAAAAATGGATGACAGCAATGAAAATGTAAATGTAGGTCACTCTGCTAGTTCAAGACACTTTCTGCATGTTTCTCTTCAGTTGTGCCACTCTCCTTTTCAAGAACCTTCTCTGACATTTATTATAAGAAAATCCACTCATCCACCTAGCAGGAGGCCATCTACAATGGACCCCACCTGGACGCCACCTCAGTTCCCGTTTCTCCCCACGCTTTCTCTGCTGCTGTCAAATTTGTCCACTCCCTGATCCTAAACACCCTTGAATCTCCTCATCATACCAACATACCTGTGTGCTCAGTTTTGCATCCCCTCCTCTTAGTCTGCCTAAATCCTTTTTACTCTTCACTCCTCTGTGTGGTTGCTGTTTTCCACAGAGGCAACTCCGAATCATGTGACCTTATATGTAACAGAAGAAAACATTGCCTTGTCCTGTGCCATCTTCATAGTCCTTGGGGCTTGTTAACTACCAGAGGATGACCCAGTCTCTGCTTCCTGTAAGCTCATATAACATCTCTGCCTTTAATTTGTCCTTTAACTTCATGCAATTTTATGTCTGTTTTTTCCCGGTCAGATTTTAATCTGCATGAAAGTTCCATTTAGAAAAAGGAGGCTCCAGAGCTTCGTCCCTTCCTAGTTACTCAAAGCCTGGCAACCCATTCCCACGGAAAATCCACCAGACCCAACACTTACACTAAATTAAGTCCTTGCTCTCAGATGCTGGGGGAGGGTGTGGTGCCCTAGGCGTGATGGGTTTAAAACTCCACTGCCATGGAGTTGACTCTGATTCAGTGGCCCTTATACAACCAAGTAGAATTGCCCCATAAAGTTTCCAAGGCTGTAATCTGTACAGTGTGGCGCTGTGGGATACAGTACTAGACTACAAGGTCAGTTTGAACAACAAGGTCAGCAGTTCAAACTCACAACCACTCTTTGGAAACCCTAATACAGGTTGCTATGAGTCAGAACTGACTCGACTGCTGTTAACAATAATCTGTACAAATGCACATTGACTCATCTTTAGTCCACGGAACAGCTAGAGAGTTCAAACCACTGACCTTCTGGTTAGCAACCCAATGCTTAGTCCACTGTGCAACCACGTTTCCTGTGATGGGCTGTAGCACCAAGCAAGTTTGGGTTTTAATCCTTGACCCTTACGTGCCTAGTGTATCATATTTGACAGTTTATGTAGTCTGTCTGCACCAACACTGACTTGTCTTCCCACCTAAGAAATTGATTTCTACGTCATCAGTATCTTTCATGTGATTTCCCACTCACCCCCAACAACTAACTCATAATATCGTTAATGAAAGAATCAAAGGTCTTTCTACTCTTCTGTGTAGGAAATGCAATCGGGAAACCCTGGAGGCTATGCAGTGGGGCAAGCCCTTCACTGCCCTGTGTAGTATTTGGTGGTAAACTCAGCATTCATGCTCTATAATCATAATCATGCTTTCCTGCAAAATATGGAGGAATTTCAGGGAACCTGGGAGGCTTACAGACTTTAGGAGGATTTTCTCCTTCTTTGTCTTGGTGTCTGACTGAAGAAACGAATAGCAGAAAATATTGTTTGGCGTCCTACTGATACTTTTGGTTTCATGTTGGTGAACCAAATAAAATGGCACAGTATGTTGGAATGTTTATTCTTGGTCTCCTGATCTATTTCTTATGAGAAATAGAAAACCTTGGAAAACCTTGGAATGTTATGCAAGAAGGAAAAACCTTTGAATGTTACATAAGAAGATAAGTTGTCAGGAAACTGTCATCTTCACTACTGTAAGGATACCAGTGTGCACAGAATGGAAAAAGCCTGGAACTAAATTGCTGATCTGACGCAGATCCTAGCTCTGCCATTGGTCAGCTGTTTGATTGGGCACATTTCTGTTTTTTTTAATTGTAGTAAATATATATGTAACAAATCATTTGCCTTTTCAGTAATCTTTACATGTACAATTCAGTGATATATGTTTATCACATTGCTCAACCATTATCACTATCCATTTCCAAACTGCCCCTTCACCTTTAGCAGAAGATCATTGTCCCCTATGCAGTGGACTCACTGCTTTGTCCCTCCCCCCACCCCCACTCATGATAACCACAGATAAGCTTTGGTCCCTTTATACCTGTCTGTTCTAGATATTTCATATAATATTTGTCCCCTTCTTGAATGACTTTTGAGAGCCCTGCTGTGGGTTAATAACACTGGACTGCAAAAGTTGGTTTGAACCACAAGGTTGGTGGTTCAAGCTCACCAGCCTCTCCTCAGAAACCCGATGCAGGGTCACTATGAGTCAGAAGTGACTCGATGGCACTTAATAACATGTCAAGGTTCATCCATGTTGTAACACATGTTGTTGTTGTTAAGTGCCACTGGATTGGTTCCAACTCATAGCGACCCTGTATAGGGTTTCTGGGGAGTGACTGGTGGGTTTGAGCCACCAACCTTATGGTTCAAACTGACCTTGTGGTCCAGTGCATTATCCTGCAGGGCCACCCCAGGACTGATTGTAGCACATGCTTCTGTTGCTGTTAAGTGTTGTCCAGTCGGTTCTGACCCACAGCAACCCTTTATAGAGTTTCCGAGGAGCAACTGGTGAGCTTGAACCACCAACCTTGTAGTTCAAATCAACTTTGCAGTCCAGTGCATTAACCCACAGTACCATACATACCAATACCTAATTTCTCTTTATGGCTCAGTAATAGTCCATTGTATGTATGTGTCACAACGTGTATATCCATTCATTCATTGAATGACATTTAGACTGTTTTTGCCATTCAGCTGTTGTGACTAATGTTGCAACCAACACTGGTATACAAGTATCTATTCTGAGAAAGTTTCTTAACTGCTCTGTGCCTCCGCTGTCAAGGGGGATTAAATGAATTAATACACTTCAACTGTTTAGCACAAATCCTTGCATACAAAATACTTAATACATGTAATTTTTAAATGTTTATTTCTCAAATAAAATGGATTCCTATAATATCTTAAATGGGACTGTTCTCCAGATAGTCTTTGTTCATTTCTCTGCATACTTTATACACTCTTTTTCCCACATGTTATTTTCTGTCGCTATTTAAACAAAGGGAGACTAGGTTCAGCTCATGCTAAATAAATAAATATAAACAAACAAACAAATAAATAAATAAATAAAACCACCTAGTTGTTCTGATATCAGTTCTGATTCATGAGAACCCCATGTGTATCAGAGTAGGATTGTGTTCCATAGGATTCTCAATGAATTGTTCCATAGGATTCTCAATGAATTGTTCCATAGGATTCTCAATGAATTGCTCCATAGGATTCTCAATGAATTGCTCCATAGGATTCTCAATGAATTGTTCCATAGGATTCTCAATGAATTGTTCCATAGGATTCTCAATGAATTGTTCCATAGGATTCTCAATGAGTGATTTTGGGGGAGTAAATCACTAGTCTTTTCTTTCCAGGTACCTCTCTGTAGATTCAAACCACCAGCCTTTCAATTGGTAACTATTTGTGCCACCCCAGTCCATGATACCGAAACAAAAATGATTGCCATTGCTTAGATTCAGACTCAAAGCAAGCCTAGAAGACAGTAGAAGTGTCCCATAGGGTTTCCAAGACTGCAGATCTTTGTAGAAGCCAACTGACACACCTCTCTCTTGTGGAGCTACTGGTCGATTTGAACCACAGTCCTTTAAGTTCCTAGCTGAACACTTAACCACTGTGCCACCACTATGCCCCTAAAAACAGTAAAACTAAGCATCAGCAAAGTCACTGATCTCTATGAAACTTTGAACTTTACACCAACTAGTGTCTTGTCCCTTTCACAGAGGGCGCTCTCCATGCTGAAAGAGTCCCTGGAAGACAAAGTGGGGGCATTTGGTGATTTCAGTCCAGAGGTGGCAGAGACCTACCAGCTCCTGGGCAGGGCAGACCTGGCACAGGGGAACCACAGCAGAGCCCACAAGAAATTGAAGAAGGTAAAGCTGAAGCCACACTCATGCAAAATCGACTCCCCTCTCCCAACCACCACTTTCTTGCCCTCCAGCATGCACTTTTTAATGGAAACATAGTTGACTTATTTAAGTAAAATAACATAACTTTTGCAAGGTGATCTAAGCTAACACTTTTGGGTGAAAACTATCATAATCTTGTGTGTACACTCCTATACTTATAATGAATTATTAATTATGTTAACCATGCAAATAGCTTTCATTTTTACCTAGCGTTTATTTAAGAACTATTTTCTACTCCTAGCTTATAGAGGATTTTTCTATGTGTTCTTTTGTATACACACACACACACACACACACACATATATATTATTATTATTATTATTATTATTAATTTGGAGTTTATTCATGTGTATGGTATGAAGTGTGGATCTAATGTAATCTTTTTTCCAAATGACTTCCCAGTTTTCAAGCACAATTTGATTTAAAGCCCTTCTTTGCTTTAGTGGTTTAACACCTTCATCATACACTAAATTTCCCTGTTTTCTTGAGTCTATTTATGGATTTCAAGTCTATTCCACTGTTTATTCATGTGCCAGTACCTCCTGTTTTTAAGTTGTTGTTGTTGTTATGTGCCATCTAGTCGGTTCCGACCCATAGCGACCCTGTATAGGGTTTCCGAGGGTGTAAATCTTTACGTATAGAGTTTTTATGGTATGATTTAATATCTGGTAGGACTAGACATTCTCGTGGCTTTCCCCGCCTAGAATATTAGATTTTCTAGATATTCTTGAATGTTTGTTTACTTTTCCGTGTGGATTTTATATCAACTTATCTGACTTCATAGAAATTGGGCTGATATTTTTATTGGGATTGTGTAATTTATATATGAACTTCAGAAAAACTGACATCTTTATGCTTTTGAGTCATTTTAACCAAGAACAAGGAATGTCTTTCCATTTGTTCACATCTACTTTTGTATCTTTCAGGTGTGTTTTAAAGTTTTCCTCTTGTAGGCTTTCCACAGTTTTACAGGTTTCTTTCTAAGTACTCTATCGTCTTTATTATTATCATTAAGTGCAGTCATGTATTTTTAATGGGTTATTTGTATATACAGGCAGACCATCGATTTCTCTGTTAACTTTATATCATGGTATAACTTACTTAGTTCTTTGAGTGCTTGAGTCCATTTGAGCATTGAGTTTTCCAAGTTTCTCAGGTATAAGATTTACACCCTCGGAAACCCTGTACAGGGTCGCTATGGGTCGGAACCGACTCGACGGCACTTAACAACAACAACAACAACAACTATTACAGCATGTGCAAATAGGACTTGTTTTACTTCTTATTTTTCAATCCCTATGCCTCTAATTGATTTGTCTTATTTAATTGCATTGACTCATACTTCTTGTTTTATTCATGCTGCGTTATTTTTTAGAATGTGAGGTTGGATTATATTTGCAATATTTTCCTTAGGATTTTTAAACCCGTATTTGTTAAGTGAAGGAGTTCTGGTAGCGTAGTGGTTACGAATCGGGCTGCGAACCTCAGGGCCAGCAGTTCAAAACTACCAGCTGTTCCGTGGGAGAAAGATGAGGCTTTCTGCTCCCTGTTCAGGGTCGCTATGAGTCGGAACCGACTCCACAGCACACAACCAGCACCACCACCACCATGTAACCATTTAGGCCTGGTGTTTTTTTGTTTTGTTTTTCCTTTGGTAGGAAAATTATTTGACTGTGTTTTGTTGTTGTTGTTGTTGTTGTTTCTATAAAAAATTGGTCTGTTGCAGCTTTCTATCTTATTTGGGTCATTTTTGGTAAGGTATTACCTTTCTAGGTAATTATCCATTTCATTTACATTTTCATATTTATTTACATAGAGATTATAGTTTTTAATGATCAGTCCCTCCTTGTAATATCTTAGCTTTAGATTTGTGTTCCCCGTTTTTCCTTTTGCTGATTTAATGAACACCTTGTCTGTTTTATGAATTTTCTCAAGAATGCTTTTTAGTCACTAGATCTGCTTTCTGTTTTCTATGTCATTAATTTCTATTTTTTCTTTACTATTTCTCTCTTCATGTTTTATTTTGTTGTAGAGATTTCACCTTTTTTTTTTTAATTAGAACTGTAAGTCATTTATTTTCACATTTCATTTTTTATTTATAGAAGAGTTAAAAGTCATGAATTTTCATCTCATTATTTCTGTGGCACCATGGGTTAATGTGCTACACTGCAAAGTCGGTTTGGACCACAAGGTCAGCAGTTCAAGCTCACCACTGCTCCTTGGAAAGCCTACATATATAGCGAGAGGGTCGCTATGGGTCAGAATGGAGAATGACCCTGGTGATTTGCTTCCCTAAAGATGGTTGTTGTTGTTAAGTACAATGGAGTTGCTTCCAACTCATAGTGACCCTGTGTATTGTTTCGAAGGGACGGCTGGTGAGTTTGAACCACCAAGCACCACACCAGGACCCCTCCATAGAGCCTGTTATTGTTGTTAAATGCCATCAAGTCAGTTCTCATAGCGACCCTGTATAGGGTTTCCAAGAAGTGGTTGGTGGTTTTGAACCACCAACTTTGTGGTTAGCAGTCCAGTGCTGATCCTGTAGCACAACACGAGGTCTCCTCATAAAGATTACACCCTATAAAACCCAAGGGGCAGTTCTACCCTGTCACATGGGTCTCTATAGTCAAAACTTAGCACCTACAACAACTTGTTACCTACATAGTGACCTCAGTTTTGATTCTTGGCCTGCAAATGATAGGCATTTACCATTGGACTCTTCATAGAAATAAGTTTTCTAGTGCCTGCTGTATGTAGCTTGGAGCTGTTGATAAAAATTTTAGCAAGGCACTTAAGGTCTATATTTATTTTTGGATTAAAAAAAAATCACTGTGATGATCATATTCAGAATGGAACGGAGTGAACCAAACTTGAGACCAAAGACCTCAACTTTCTCCCCCACATAATGGAGACATCAGATCCCCAGCCTCTTCGGTTTCATGGCTAGTCTCAGGTCCACTGAGGTAAGGTGAGTGAGAAGATAAACCCAACCCTGTCCCAGTCAGCTGCTGAAGAGATGCCTTTCCTGCCACCATCCTCCCCTGCCCACATAATAAAGAAGGTAGAGCTTCCATGTTCGAGCCTACTGCCAGCCAATCCTTTTCCCTTCTCTCTTCTTCCCTGAGAGGGATACAGGAAGTAAGGGAGATTCTTCCAAGGGCTCAACAGATAGGGGAAGGTGGTGTGGTGGACCCAAGGTATTGGGGAGGACAGCAGATGGCAGTGGCAGGGGCTGGAACAAGCTGGGGAGGAACAAGTCGACAGTCACCCAGCTCATGCTGCCTCCTCTGGCCTGGGCTGGTACCATTATAAATCTCCTTCTTGGAAGTTTGAGTCCATCAGAAGTGGCCTTGGAAGAAAGGCACTTCTTTAGATCTGCTTCTAAAAATCAGCCATTAGAGTACAGGTACAGCCTTACTCTGACACAGCTGGGGTCCACTTGGTGCCCACTGGTGGTAGTGGTGGCTTGCTGTTAGGTCACTGTCACCATGGCTTCGCATCTGTCAGCAGTCCCTTATCTTCGCTGCAGTCCTGCTGCAGGCTTCATAGACTACTGTTAGCGGGAAGGGGCCCGGGGCTCACTGGCACGAGCAGACTTTCCATAGACAGGTTATTCTGAAGTAAAGCCTACACTTTTTTGCCAGTGTTTTAACCAAGAGCAGGTCTTGAACCACTGATGTTGGCAGGGCCTTCTGAATCAGCCTGGGATACGAATGTTAGTCAGCTTCCTAGGGGAAGTTTGAGAATCACGCTCTAGCCACGTTGCCTTCCCAGGGGCTGAAAAACCAGTTCAGGTTCAAGAAACTTAGATTTCATCACCCTGGTAACCTATAGTGAAAGCTGGTGGTATTGTTTTCCTTGAGTTTTGTCTCGTTATTTATCTGTCCTGGAAGCAGTGTCTGACATTTTAAACATCACATGTCAGAATCGGAGTGCAAAGGGCAGCAACTCTTTTCTGGGAGGTTGTGCATGCTGTGTACCTGCAGCGACTGTTTCTGGCTCTCCATCTGAAGACACGCTGGTCATTCAAGGGACACCAGGTCACAGGCGGGGACTGTACACACACTTTTTGCATCTGCTGCTGAACTGGATTTCTGAAATTCCATATTTGGCACTGGGGCTCTGTGAAGTCAGCAACTTTCTACAGGACCAGCCAAGCAGTGTCTCCCTCGCCTGTTATATTACAAACGTTCCATCGTTCATGTTTTCAACTCGGTAGTAGGAATCTCCTGAAAAGTGGCTTTTCCAGATGTTCTGTCGTATACTAAATGGTTCAGGCATGATAATCCCAGGCATGAAAAACAGGAAGGCTTGCGATACAAAGAAGGCAGGACAGTCAATTATTGACTAGAAGACCATATTAGTAATCTATTTTTTTTATTGTTTTTTCTCATTTTATTATTATTACTTTTTTTCTTTCCTTCTTTCTTAAATGATTTATTGTGAATTATGTGACAGTTTACATGGGAGAACATTAGTTTTACATTCATTCTATCGTATATCGTCTCATTGCCATGGTTACAATCCCCTCCATGTAATCCTTCCCCCGTACCCCGCAGGTCTTCAGCACACAGTCGCTCTCCCTCTCTGGGTCTAGAGTGTCCAGCTGCTCCATAGCTCCACGTCATCATCTCTGGCTCCATTTCAGGCATCACTGCTTCTCTGGGTAGGGTCCGGCTCTCTGCTCTTCTCCCTTGATGGTCCTAGGGACCTCCGCTCCTAGACTGAAAAGTCAATCACTCCCCTCCTTGCTATAAAATGTCTACCTTTACATTTCCAACTGTCACAATCAGTCCTGATAACAATTATTCACTATAGTATCACAAGAGACCCGTCTGCATTTCATTGCATCAGCCCCACCTAGTCAGATTGAATACTACTCACTGGAGATTCTACCTTCCTCCAGGCCCTCTGGATCTAGGTTCCCTCTTGAAAGCTTGCAAGCCAGTCACTTCTTGCCTTTG